AAAAGAAAATCATTTATTTCATTTCAAATGGACATCAAAAGGCAAACCATACCTTAAGTGTCAGGGTGCACCCCAAGACAGAGCACCCCCTACCCTGTTCTCTGCAGGGTCCACACACACCTTCCCACCTGAAGGGGCTCTCAGCTCCTGAATGGCAAAGCAGGCAAATACAGCTCTTGCTTCTCTGCCAGATGCTGTGCTCCTGGCTGGGCTGACGACTCTTCTTTAAGGCCGAGAAAGAAAAGAAATGATTCTGAAATTCAGACTACAGGTTAAAACGAACTTCAGTGAAATAATTTTAAAAGACTTGATAATATACTTGACAACAATATGAGAACTTAAATGAGGAAGCCTCCCTTTTTTTCATTTTGAAAATAGCTCTTTTCTGTATTGTTCCCATAGCACAGAGAGTTTTGATTATTTTCTTGTGTGAAAGAGTGTTTTGTTTTCATCCTAAGAACTTCTCTGTAAGTTTTTTTCCACTGACCTTTACCATTTAATAGAAATTTTTGAAATTTTTACAGATGAAACTATTTTTAATTCATAAAAGAGACATTGGAAAGTAATTATACCTTACTCTGAGGCTGTCTAGAGCAAGCAAGGTGTTTTTTCATCTGGCATATTTCTTCTATTCTTGGGATGAAATATATGTGGAGATGCTTTAGAATGAGTTTATGAAACTATGAGCTATAGGGACAAAATGAAGGAAGCCATCTCCCCCATTATCATTTGGCATTTCATTATTTAGGGAGTAAAATATCAGATAAAAAGGAATATTGTTTTGATTGACCACCAAAATTGGGCATATTCCACTTTAAATGTGACCATCAGTTATCAGGAAATAAGATCTTCTATTCCATATGTATTAGGTCAAACATTTCCTCTCCAGAAGTCATTAGATGACGACCTAGCCATTTTATGAAGGACTGACATGCTGATATAAAAATTAATATTTGCATGCCCTTAGCTTGCGTTAGGGTACACTCATGCTTTGTGCATGTTACAGGGTGCTTGACAGAGGATTTTTCCCAGGATCGAACTGACAGAATTGACCAGCAGGTTCTTTTCTAACCCCTCCTCAGAGAGCAATCCCAAGAGGAAGAATTTTAACGTGTCTCCTGATGCCATCCCCAGGTTGGAAGGAAAAGAAATGGAGGGGGAGCTGAGAAGCAGCTGGGGTGAAAGACCTAGGCTCTCGCACCAGAATGGCCAGTGCTTCCCTGCACCCGTGACTGCGCACCCTGGAACGGCAAGGATGGTGGGAATTCTCTTACTTTGTCAGGGAGGAAAGTAACAAAGCATGGAGGAGATCAGTCACCCAGAACTCAGGCCCTCATGAGCAAATACTGGAGAAGTGCACATTTTTGTTGTTGTTTTGAACATTTAAATACTTAGAAAATCAAAAAGACAACGTCATGGAATAAAGTCATCTCAGTGCACAAAAAACACCTCTACCAGGTGTTTGACGATGGAACTTCCCATGTACCTGAAAGTCACACACACGTTCAGACTCCAGAGAGACTTCAGGTAAAATCTGAGAAGCGGGGGGTGTCGGCAACCACAGTGGGAGCCCCCCTCTGTGGCCTTAGTTTTTGTTTCAGAGTCATTCCACAAAAACCCGTCAGGATGGAGATAGATAGATATGAAGACGACGGCGACTGTGGGGAAGGAGTTTAACAAATCTTTTTCACTGTGATTAGTATTACTTACCAGAGGCAGCAGAGCTAGCAGATAACAAAAGCTGATTTGTATCTGGTGAATTAGTTTGTCTCTGATAATGTGGACTTCGGTGGTTGCCTTTACCTTCCTTAAGAACAAATTATTCCACAATGCAGAATAAATTATTTATTCTGAAATACAGAAGAAAAAATTTTGAAGAGTAAAAATATATTTAAAATACACATTACATCCAGGCTTGGTGGTGCACTCAAGTAATCCCAGCAATTTAGGAGGCAGAGGCAGAGGAGGGCAAGTTGAAGGGCAACTTCTGCGACTCAGTGAGACCCTCGGCAACTTAAAGAGACCCTGTCTCAAAATAACCCTTTAAAAAAGCTGGGCATGTAGCCTAGTAGCAGAATGCCTCTAAGTCAATGCCCAATACCAAAAATAAATAAAATCAAATAAATTAAATAAATATACATTGCATAAAAACTGAAAAAGCCCCCCCCCAAAAAAAAAACACACAAAAGTATAGAAAAATACCACTCTATAATAATGGATACAAATATAATATATGGAAAAATGGACACAGAGTAGATAAAGAGATACAGAATAATAAAAGCAACAAATATATATAATATTAGAAATTTTAATCTAGCTAGCTGTATATTGAAATAATGTGGCTTGGACAAAGAGGATTTATTCAAGGGATATATGGATAGCTCAGTTTAAAATAATAAGTTAGACTAGAGTGAAAATCAAGAGGAAAAAATATAATTAACCCAACTGTTATCCTCTTTTCCACCAAATTGATGAAGTCAAATAAGCATTCCTGACTGGGGAGGAGCAGAGCTCTGACATAGGAAGCAGAGAGTGTGTTCCACCGCTTAAGCACAACTCTCCTCATATCTGAATGTGAGAATCAGGTAGTTTTCAAAGTCGGAAAAGACAGAAACAGCAGTTGAAAACTGCATCCATGAGCAAATGAGAAAATGTTACTTGTGCCAAAAATTCCTTTTTAAATTTTTTAAAAAATCTTGCTATATGGGAATGGCCTCATAGAATAAATAGGACTACTGAGGCTGATAAAAATAAATAACCTTTTGAAGGTCACATACCTGTGAATGACTATTTAAAATTGAATCTTTAGATAAAATTACGGGTTAATAACAAATTAAAATGGGATAATCTTGTTGTTGTGAAATATCCACAGATCCCAAACCCGGAATGAACCACACGAGACACTGGCTGCAAAAAGCAGGAGGCGTTTATTCTCACACAGGCGCCTGCGGGTGCACAGCAAAACCTCAGCCGGAGCTTCGATGAGCTGGCACACCGGGCTTTGGGGTATAGATCTTTTATATGGAACAGGTGGGTTAGGTCTTAGCTTAGCACAGCAACAGCCTTCCTATTGGTCCCTCTGAATTCAGCAGTTGAGTCACCTAGGGGGGTAAACTTGTTTTTCAACTTTTTGTTCTCGGAAAAACCATAAAATTGCATTCTGTCCTTTCAGTTCCTGTTTTTAAACCTAGTTCTCAAGTTTAACCAGTAGGACTGTCTAAAAGGAACATCTTGTGATAGGGGGCCCGTTAGGGTTATCTACATGGAACATCTTGTGGTAACATTGTGCATCACCTGAGGTGCTACATGCTGCTGGAGGGGTTTTGACATGGGGGCTGGGTGAGGAAGTGTCTTGCAGCTTTGAGGCCTAGGGGTTTGGTCACCTAATGCTGGGCCTGGGTCTTGAGGTCCTACATTCCCCCCTTTTTCTTTATCCGGGATATAATCTTATATCCATTGATCTACCTGCTCAGAGTCCGGTATTTGCTCAGCTGATGGTTCAGGGTGCTGTGGGAGTACTTGATATTGCTGCGCGAGTACCATAGTTTGAATTACAGACAATCTTTTTTTTATAAATTGCATTAATTTGTTAAATATGCAGGGCCCAAATGTTAAGATCAGCAGCAATACAATTAAGGGACCGGCTACAGTAGATAATATAGTAGTTAACCAAGGGGAGTTATTAAACCAGCTTTCAAACCAACTTTGGGAGCTTTGCAGAGACCTTTCCCTTGCATCTAGTCTTTCTCTAAGCTTTGTCATAGACTCCCTTACTACCCCTGTGTGATCGGTGTAAAAGCAACAGTTTTCTTTTAAGGCTGTACAAAGTCCTCCCTCCTTCAAGAATAATAGGTCCAGACCTCGTCTATTCTGCAAGACAACTTCTGATAAGGAGGTTAGGGATTTTTCTAAAGCAGTTACAGAGGTTTCTATTGCTCTTAGGTCTTGTTGGATTGCAGCTTCTAGAATCCCTAGCTGTCGGGGGCCCTCAACCAGAGCTGCAGCCCCAGTCCCAATTCCTGCCAATACTCCTGCTCCTAACAAGACTGCCAGGGTAAGGCTGATAGGCTCTCGGGTGTATCGAATCCTGCCCATGAAATGTCCTTCAAATTTCTCTGAGGAATAATAGAATAGTCGTGGGTAGATTCGGACTAACACACAAAAATCAGTGGAGGCATTGAGGATTGCCGTGGAAATACAGGGGGTCAGTCCAATGTTGCAGGCCCAATAAGTTCCGGGGGGACCCCACAAATAGTTATTTTGTGAGCCATTTGTCAGGAGGGTGGTGTTACAGAGAGGTTGATGTGACAGGGGTATATTTCCTACACAGATCCCTTGTCCTGAAACTTCAGTGATGGTGAGTTTATAGCCGGGCAGGGACATACATTTAGGATCAGGGTTTATGTTACTGTTCCAGTCAGACATTATTGCTATTCCTTCATAGTAGGGTGGGCCGAAGGTGAGACAGAGCCAACATTCCCGGGTGCGGTCTGGGTTGGTGGCATTGAGGGCATAAAAGGCTCCTTGAATCAAATCTAACAATCGGTTTTCGGTTTCAGGGAGTGTGGGTTCGGGGGAGTAACTAGAGGTTTGACAGTCTATGGTTACAATTTGAGACATGGGTGGCTCACTGGGAGGTACTTTGGGCGGACTTTTTGATTGTCTGGGAACTGAGGGAGCTCTTTGGTCCCCGAGAACAGGATTAGGTCCTATTGGGCTCATCAAAATTGGGGTTAGAGATAATTTGATTCTGAGAATTACACCGAGATCATCTCCTTTCATAAACCATCTAAGGCCCCATGTTCTCCCAGTGAGCCAGGGATCTAGCTGTTCTTTTTCTTTTTCTGTAAACTGTATCCGTAAGGGCAATGATTTGTCCCCTTGGTAGTAAGATGTAGGGGGGGGATAGCAATCAGAGGGGCGCGTACCATGGGGAGTGAAGTTTTTGAGTATTGTTATGAATTCCTTATCAGAAGAAGGTTTCCAGTGAGCGTCCCCTGTAGTTTCACAGCCCCAGGAGGAGCAAAAGTATGTTTTATAATTTCCACATCTACGTGCTTGGGTTCGGTTTCTCCCTTCTTTGGGACAAACGTAAAAGTCATGTTGACCCAGTCTGCATCTCGTTATGGGGGTAGAACAATAAGTACTGAGGTCATGTGAGTTGCCGGGAATATCCCAAGAGTCTGATTCAGCGGCTAGTTGACAAAAGTCTGGGGTCAAAATAGGCCACCATGTGCCAGGGATGTGGGCTGCTGTAATAGACCAAATTATTTTTCCGGTTTCGGAATACACCTGCCAAGTCAACTTCATGGGGGTATGGGGATTACTACCTAGGACGAGGGGAGTAGCGTAGAGAGCAAGAGTGATTAACAACGTGTAAGTCTTATCTTTAGCGGGTTTTGGGTGCGTTGCAGTTTCCATTCTGGATCCAGAGAGGCGTCTGTGGGCTCCTGCGGATGTGCAGCTTTCACGTGGGAAGCGTGGATCCAAGCGGTGATGCCGTCCACTTTGATTGCAGTGGGAGTGGTCAGCAGGATGGTGTAAGGTCCTTTCCACCGCGGTTCGAGGTTCTTGCTCTGGTGCCTGCGTACCCAGACGGTGTCTCCGACTTTGAAGGGATGTGGCAGCGAGGGGGTTTTGAGTTCCTCCTTGTATGCTGCGGCTAGAGGCTTCCAAACCTCGTTCTGGACCAACTGCAAGGCACGCAAATGAGTCTGCATAGATGGGGTGAGGGAGGCATAAGTTTCAGTTTCATAAAAGTTAACAGCAGGTGGTGGTGCACCGTACAAAATCTCAAATGGGGTTAGCCCCTGTGGGCCTGGGGTGTTTCGGGCCCGGTATAAAGCTAAAGGTAGGAGTTGTACCCAGTCTCTAGTGCCAGTTTCAAGCGTTAATTTAGTTAGAGTCTCCTTGATGGTTCTATTCATCCTTTTTACCTGTCCTGAACTTTGGGGTCTATAAGCACAATGTAATTTCCAATTAATCCCCAATGTATTGGCCACCATCTGACTTACCTGGGAGACAAAGGCAGGCCCGTTATCTGACCCAATGGTCCCGGGTACTCCATACCTGGGAAAGATTTCTTCCAGTAATTTCTTTGCAACCACCTTAGCAGTCTCATGCCGAGTTGGGAATGCCTCGGTCCATCCAGAGAAAGTGTCAACAAAAACCAGAAGATATTTGTAGCCATACATACCAGGTTTAATTTCAGTGAAGTCTATTTCCCAATGGGTTCCGGGCTTATGGCCTTTTACCCGGATCCCTGTTCCAATTTTGATCTTACCAGCATTTACCTGGGCACATGCTTGACAGTTTTCTGCTTCTTGGCGCAGAAGTTGATCCCTGTTTGGAAGATATAAAGTACCTTCCCCACGCTCTAAGAGCTCCTTCATCTTTTTAGCCCCAAGGTGTGTCAGTCTGTGTAGGGACTTTACTAATTGTTTTGAATTTTTGAGGGGCATGATAGTCTTTCCTTGATATTTCCAGACATTTTTCCCGGGGTCATAAGTGGCCCCCAGTTTTTGTATGACATCTAAATCTTTATCTTTATAGACCCAGTGTTCTTTATGGTCATCATGTGGTGGGTCTGCTCGTTGGGGCAATAGAGTCACTATCAAAAGCTGTGGCCCTAGGGCTGCTTTCTTGGCCGTTTCATCTGCTAATCTGTTCCCTTTGGCCTCTGGAGTATTACCTTTTTGATGACCGGGGCAATGTATGATACTTAACTTTTTAGGCAAGAATAAAGCTTTAAGTAAGGCTAATATTTCAGCCTTAATTTTGATCTCTTTTCCTTCTGAGCTTAGTAGACCCCGGCGTCTGTAAATTTCTCCGTGTATGTGAGCAGTAGCAAAGGCATATCTACTGTCAGTGTACACGTTTAGTTTCTTCCCCTCTGCCAACTTTAACGCTTGAGTCAGCGCTATCAGTTCTGCCCGCTGAGCTGATGTTCCGCCCGGAAGTGCACTCGCCCATATTACCTCAGATTCGGTGGTGACGGCTGCTCCTGCTCGTCGTTCTCCATTGAGCAGATAACTGCTTCCATCTGTGTACCAGACCAGCTCCACATCCTTCATCGGTTGGTCGGTGAGGTCCGGCCGGGTTCCCTGTGTCTCTGCAAGAATCTGCTGACAGTTGTGAGGATCGGCTTTTCCTGGGAGCGGCAGGAGGGTCGCTGGATTCAGCGTCACCATGGGACCAAACTGAATTCGGTCGGTGTCCAATAACAAAGACTGGTAATGGGTGAGTCGGGCATTTGACATCCAGCGATCAGGCGGCTGGTGAATCACAGTTTCGATGGCATGAGGGGTTAACAGGGTTAATGGCTGTCCCAAAGTCAGTTTAGTGGCATCCTTAATCAGCAGAGCCACAGCTGCAATCATCCGGAGGCATGGTGGCCATCCTGCTGCCACTGGATCTAATTTCTTTGACAGGTAGGCTATAGGTCGCCTCCAGGACCCTAGTTTTTGGGTTAAAACCCCTTTTGCATATCCCCGTTTTTCATCTATAAACAGATCAAAGGGCTTGGTAATGTCCGGTAAGCCCAAAGCAGGGGCTGACAGAAGAGCCAATTTGATGTTATCAAATGCCAATTGATGTTCCTTAGTCCAAGCAAAGGAGTTACCTTGCTTAGTTAGTAGATACAAGGGGGCTGCTATCTCAGCAAACCCAGGAATCCAGAGTCTACAGAAACCTGCGGTCCCCAGGAATTCCCGCAGTTGCTTGGGACTCTGGGGGGTTGGTATACTTGAGATAGTCTCTTTTCTGGCAGTTGTCAACCATCGTTGACCATCATGGAGTTCATAGCCCAGATAGGTAACTTTTGTCTGACAGATTTGGGCCTTCTTTGCTGACGCCCTATACCCTAGTAGCCCCAAAGTTTGCAATAATTTCTCCGTACCTGCCTGGCAATCTTCCTCGGAGGTCGCAGCCAGCAAGATGTCATCTACATATTGGAGCATGATTAGGGAAGGGTGCCTTACACGGAAGTCTGCCAAATCCTGATGCAAAGCCTCATCGAAGAGTGTTGGGCTGTTTTTAAATCCTTGTGGCAGTCTCGTCCAGGTCAGCTGTCCAGAGATTCCCCCTTCTGGATCTTTCCATTCAAATGCGAAGAGAGCCTGACTTTGGGGAGACAGTCTTAGGCAGAAAAAAGCATCTTTCAGATCCAGAACAGTATACCAAGTATGAGTAGGAGGCAAAGTGCTAAGGAGATTGTAAGGATTTGGCACTGTGGGGTGGATATCGCATACCCTCTTGTTAACTTCCCTTAAGTCTTGGACTGGTCTGTAATCATTAGTCCCCGGCTTTTTAACTGGTAGTAGTGGGGTGTTCCAGGGCGATTGGCAAGGTGTTAGGATGCCTTGGTCTAGGAGGCGTTTGATATGCGGCTTGATGCCCTGATAGGCCTCTCTTGACATAGGATATTGTTTGATATTAATGGGAGTAGCAGCGGCCTTCAGATGAATGACTATTGGGGGCCGTTGTTTTGCCAATCCCATTCCTCCGGTTTCAGCCCAGGCCTCCGGGTAGGAACTAAGCCAATAGTCCATGTCTTTCATAGGTACCGAGGGCTTGTCAAAAAGTTTATATTCGTCTTCCAATTTGAAAGTCAATATATGTAATGGAGTCTGGTTTGGCCCCGTGATGGAGACGCCCCCATCTTTAAAATAAATTTGGGCTCTCAATTTAGCCAATAAGTCTCTTCCCAACAGTGGATACGGACAGTCAGGCACGTGTAGGAACGAATGAGAAACCTTACCTGTGGCAAGGTGTACTTCTCTCGTGGTGGTCCACCGGTAGGGTTTACTCCCAGTGGCACCTTGGACCCACGTCGTTTTGTGGCTCATGGGTCCTGGTGTCTGTGTCAGCACTGAGTGTTGGGCTCCGGTATCCACTAGGAAGGTCACAGGTTGCTCCCCTACTTGTAGAGTTACCCGGGGCTCAGGGGGGAGCTCCTGGCCCTGACTCCTCTAATCCTCATCTAATGTTAGCAGTCGGGGAGCCCGGTTGGTATCTTTCCTGGGGTTGGGGGGTCTCTTTGGGCAGTCTTTTACCCAGTGTCCTTTTTCCTTGCAGTAGGCACATTGATCTCGGTCTACACGGGGTCTGCTTTGCTCCCTGTCCCTGTTTACTTTGTTTCCCTGATGTCCTGCCTGAACTACGGTGGCCAATATTTTACTTAGTTCCCTGTTACGCCTTTGTTCTCTTTCCCTTTCTTTTTTGTCTGATTCCTCTCTAAGCTTAAGTTCTCGTTCTTCCTGCATCTTTCTGATCCTGTCCTCTCGTTCTTCTGGAGTTTCTCTTTTGTTATATATCTTTTCGGCTTCCTTCAGTAAGTCTGCCAGAGAAAAATCTTGCAAGTTATCTAGTCTCTGCAATTTAGACCTGATATCTGGGGCGGACTGCCAAATGAAAGCCATAGATACATTTCCTTTTTGGTCCTCGCTATCAGGATCAAAAGGAGTAAACCTCCGATATGCCTCTTTCAATCTTTCTAGAAATGCTGTCGGGGTTTCTGTTGCCCCTTGGGTAGTCTGTCTTACCTGAGCCAAATTAGTGGGTCGTCGCCCTGCTGCATGGAGACCCGCTATGAGTAACTGGCGATAGAGACGTAGGTGGTCCCTACCTGCTTCAGTCGCATGGTCCCAGTTTGGCCGGGTTAAAGGAAAAGCTTCATTAATCAAATTTGGGAGTTGGGTGGGACGCCCATCGTCCCCTGGCACATTTTTGCGAGCTTCCAAAAGAACTTTTTGTTTCTCCTCTGAAGTGAGGAGAATTTGCAGGAGCTGCTGGCAGTCATCCCATGTTGGCTGATGAGTTACTAGGATAGACTCAATCAAAGAGGTTAGAGCTGTAGGGTCTTTAGAAAAGGAAGGGTTATGGGTTTTCCAGTTATAGAGGTCAGAGGCAGAAAAAGGCCAATACTGATATTGGCCATTGGGGCCTCCCGTCTGTCGCAGGGGGAGAACTCTGGAGGTGTCTCCTGAGGCGGTGTGATCCCGGCGTCCCCGGAGCCGTCCCACCATGGGAGAAGGATCCGGGGGAGCATTGGCGACTGGGCCTTCTTGGTTCTCGTCCTCGGAGGATGCTTGATCAGGTTCAGGGGCTTGTAAGGGCTGGGGCTGATAGGGAGGAGGCTCATCAGTCAGCAAGTCAATTAGAGTTGAGTCCTCCGGCGGTAGAACCTTCTTTGGTGTTGTCCCTGTTTTAACTGAGGTCTCAGATTTGTTAAGAACAGGGTAAAGATGAGAGGTTTGGGGAGGGGGAAGTGGAATGAGGGGAGCAGAGGGTTCAAGGGGAGGACGGAGAGGGGGTTTGGGTGGAGAGAAAGGAGCAACCCAAGGGGGGGGGGTTGGAGGCTAAGTCCTCCCAGGTAACAATGTAGGGTATCTGGTCAGGGTGTCCATGAGGACCATGGGTGAAGATTCGGGTTTTCACCTGGAAAATAAGATCAGTATTAAAAGTCCCTTCTGCTGGCCAGCTGGTGTTGAATGTTGGCCATTCTGAAGTACAGAGAGTTTTCCATTTTTTCTTTTTGACTGCCACGGACAGGTTGTCTGCCCGATCTTGAACGTCTTGCCAATGATCTAGAGTTAGGCTCAAAGGGGTTGTTAGTGATTGTCCCATGTTACTTTCAGAGAGGAAATAGAGAGACAGACACAATGACACAAAAACGAAACCAAACAGTGAGATCGCTGCGCGGCTTCGGTGGAAACCGAACAAATCAGATGGCCTGGGAGAAGTTTGTACTTCTTTGTCGCCTACAAAAATGGTGTAACCCTCGGAAACACCGGGGGCCCCAAAGAAATGGACCCTTCTGATCCCTGGGACGTCTCCCAGGGTGGCAGGGGAGAAGTCCGAGTTCGTCAACTCCTTCTCAAGCTGCCTCAGAATACTAAATGACAGAACTGCCTCAGAATACTCAGAATACTAAATGACTATGCCTAGGATCATATAGTCTTACAGACGCTGCGCGGAACAAAGAACAGATAACCAACAGGACAACAAGACAGTCAGTTTGAGCTGGCCAGCTTACCTCCCAGTGATGTCGGGTGTCCTCCGGATAGGGACCGGGATCGGAACCGGAACCGGGATCTTGGATCTCGGTGGAACCTCCACAATGAAATATCCACAGATCCCAAACCCGGAATGAACCACACGAGACACTGGCTGCAAAAAGCAGGAGGCGTTTATTCTCACACAGGCGCCTGCGGGTGCACAGCAAAACCTCAGCCGGAGCTTCGATGAGCTGGCACACCGGGCTTTGGGGTATAGATCTTTTATATGGAACAGGTGGGTTAGGTCTTAGCTTAGCACAGCAACAGCCTTCCTATTGGTCCCTCTGAATTCAGCAGTTGAGTCACCTAGGGGGGTAAACTTGTTTTTCAACTTTTTGTTCTCGGAAAAACCATAAAATTGCATTCTGTCCTTTCAGTTCCTGTTTTTAAACCTAGTTCTCAAGTTTAACCAGTAGGACTGTCTAAAAGGAACATCTTGTGATAGGGGGCCCGTTAGGGTTATCTACATGGAACATCTTGTGGTAACATTGTGCAACACCTGAGGTGCTACATGCTGCTGGAGGGGTTTTGACATGGGGGTTGGGTGAGGAAGTGTCTTGCAGCTTTGAGGCCTAGGGGTTTGGTCACCTAATGCTGGGCCTGGGTCTTGAGGTCCTACA